GTATTACACTGCACTGAGCTTGTGTTTGGCTTCATTAAAATTTTTCCTTCTTTTTCTCTCTTTTATTTTCATTCGCGGAATCTTTCATAAAATAATATTATACGTAAATAAAAAAAATCATTATATCGATTGGATATTGAACAATACAAAAAGATTTGACTAATTACACGATTTAATTATATTGTATATAGTTATCATCAAATAAGTCTTTTATATATAAAATAACCACTCAAACTAAAATAATGTTTAATTTATGAGTTCCAATAATTTTGATTTTTAATCCATACATCAAGGGAACATTTATCCTATCCCCAAAAAATACATTTCAATTATAGTAACACAAAATTGAGGGCAACTAATTTTTCATCTTAATATTTTAACATCTGAAATTTTTTTATATATAAAATGGATTCGATCGTTTTTAGAAAATTTTTCTTATTGTTACTTTATCCTTTCGATGAATTAATAAGGTATGTATGCTATTTATAATAAATACTTTTGACAAAAAGATATTTAATAGATATTTTCAATTTGCATGATCTTATGTGTTACGTGTCAACTAAAAAATATCTATTATGTGAAAATAACTATTACTCAGATAAGTGATGATTGTACTTGTCTTTTCATCATTTAATAGAAAGAGACGATATAATTATACTTTCGTATTCATTGAATGAACATAATGTTGAAAAAAATGAGTGAATAACTCACTTTTGGCACAATTTTCGGTGGGACCCGTTGGTCCAATTTGGAATATCAAAGTTGATATGTGTTCTCCTTCACGAGAACATTGAAGTTATATATTTATTTGTCAAAAATGTCGGGTGAATGAGAAGTTAGAGTTTAAAGTAGACCATTGGAAATGGTCTAGTTGGTGGGAAAACTATAGATAATTTTGTCCCACATAGGAAAAATATGGAAACCAAAACCACTTTATGTATGGCTATGCATTGGAATGATGTGATCATGTGTAGCATAGAGGCTCTCTCCACGTGCGCGCGCATGGGTGTGTAAATCACAGACAAAAATAACCTTCGGACGTTGAACTTGGGTGCGTGCGCACAAGAATGTCGGATTGAACGGAGCAAAAACTGGCCAATTTGGATTGTCCGCGTTTTGCAATTTTTTCTTGATTTTTCCAAATGATTTTTAAGTGTCTGAAACTCCTAAAACTCCAATGGTTGAAACCAATGTGTAACTTCGAAAACTGCAATGGTTAATGCAGAAGCTAATGGTCACATTCAGTCTACATACTTCACTCAAATTCCAGCAGTTCATACACTAAAATTTTCATCTGCAATTTTCAGCGGTTTAAACTCAGATACAGTTCTATTTTCTGTTTTTGTTCCGTCTCCTCTTGTGTCCATTCCAGTAAGGTGATATTGTTCGAACACTCGCCCAGCTTGCCGGATTAGAACTGCGGTGCTCGAATTCTTCTAGTTACCGTTGTATTCTGGGAGATAGGTGCTCGAACTAAACCTCTAGCACTACGGTGAGGGGGCAAATTTGTCTCAAGGAAATTGTGTTTACACAGGCCTCGGGTTGAAATTTTATCTACTATTTATTTAGTTTGCATTTTATTCTTACAGATTTATTTATTTAATTTGCAACATACTTGACTCATATATTGTTTGTTAAATTAATATTAGAAATAGATAATTAAAATAAACTGTTTTTCTAATTCGTTATATGTGTGAAAAATAGATTTCACATATATGATATTTCTATTTGTAAGTGAAAAAATTTGTGTTATTTTAGTTAGTGTATGAATAAAAACACTATGCAAATTTTGTGCAAATACGGTGAGTTTCGCCTGCAAATACAGTGAGCTGTCATATACGGTGAACTTTCTACAAATACGATAGGCAGCATATACGGTAAGGTGGAAATACGATAAGGTACCTGGCATATACGGTAAGCTACCATATACGGTGAATTGAGCTGCCAAATATAGTAAGCAATTGTCAAATACGATAAGCATGAATCTGGTGTTTAAAACACAAATACGGTATATGAGAGTCCAATTCCACTCCATACACTACCAATTAAATATAACAACAATAAAAAATTTTCTTTGCTATTAAATATTGAATATAGTTTTTTAAAGTAAAAATTATATTAAGTAAATAATATAATGTAACCTGTGTTTTATTCTTGTTTATTTATATTTTATATTTATAATATAAAAATTTTAAGTATCAATATTTGTAAATTGTAATTAAATAATTTTTTTACAAATGAAGGAACGATAGTTATTTTGGTTTTGTTTTTTCATATTTTATACTTTATTTATTAATATAAAATTTTTAAATACTAATATTTGTAAATTGTAATTAAATATATTTCTGTTACTTGAAAAGTACAATTTAAATTTTGTATAAGTGAATATGTAAAAATTAAATTGTTATTATGATTTGACATAAAATGTTTATTTTTTAATATTTGATTCAATTACTAACATTTAGTTAAAGTAATAAGTAATAGAAAAAAATTATATAGAAATAAATATTATTTCTTATTTATAGAGTGATAGTTGATCAAACGTTATCTACTTACAAAATTGTAAGAACTAAGAACGATAGAAAATAGTGTTATAATAAAAAGCAGAAACGAAAATTAAAATTTCCTTTACGATAAAGAAATTCGATATAAGAACCAATAATTTACAAGTTTAATATATATAAGCGACAGTCGTTGTACAAGTTATGACTATTTGAAACAATAAAAAAAAAGTTAAAGCAACCTTTGAACTGAAGAATCTTCACTAACAAAATACTTAGTTGATGCTTAACTAAATACTCAACATTGAGTTGCCCACATTTGCAACATATTATTACCTGGATCAATATGCTATATAACTATTTATTTGTCAGAAAGGAAATATAGATTTCTTTACTCGCCATCTTTTTTAACGCCACAAAGTCAAATCTACAGCAGTTGGTAACACGATATAACTGGTGAGGAAAATCTTTTCAAAGTTTTCAGTACCTAATCATAAAAAAATAATTATAGATTGAAATTTTTTTTCCAGCTTTCATTTTTACTAAACAAACAACTAACGTAAGCTAATATGAACAACAACCAAGATTTATTATTTAACAGCGATTTCGTACTCACAAGTAGGAAATTGAAGTACTATATTTTGCATTCATTAAATTTAATGACAATAAATATATGAACGAAGTATTAATCTATGTAACTGATCAAATTCGAAACTTATGTAATTCATAAAATTGAAATTAAACCATATCAAACTACAGCCATAAATCCTTAATAATTATTTTCTAAATAAAAAAATAACTATTGTAACAAAGAATTTTATATAAGTATATAGCATAAATACTTTAAGCATGAAATTTTCAAACTAAAAATCAGAAATTCTACACACTAAAACAAGGAGACGGAAATAACTTAAAAACACAACATTTAAAGTTCAACCAATCAACAATCATCAATTTAAGAAATTATTTTATAAGACAAAAACAAACTTAATATGGACAAAGATTTACAGTAATTATAATATGAAATGAACATATCTCAAGTCGCAAATGTTTTATCTATGTTTTATTTTTTTGCTTTTTGAAGAATTTCATAACTGAAGTATAAAGTATTATGATGACTCTTGATTCTACCAACTAAGAATAGAAAATTGTACACACATAAATAAATGAAAAAAATCAGTTCAAAATACAGGATATGAAACTGAAATGATGACGAATCGACAACTTAAGAAATTATTTAAATACTTAAACTAAAACAACTATAAAATTGTCATATCATAGTTATACAACAGATTTGAAGCTTATATTATAAGAAATCACCGTAACAGTCTACTAGAAAGAGCAATTTAAAAAATAAACAAATCTAAACTGCAAAAATTATAAACCTAGAAGAAAAAACTATAAAATAGACATACATGAGTTGCTCGATAGATTAAATTTTTTTAGATCCTTTTCACTCCTAAACAAAAGTTGAAACTAAAAAAAAAAAAGTAAAACTTATCAACTAACAGCAAAATTATTTAAAACAAAGTTTATAATATTATTACAAATATAACAAACCTGTATTGCTTCGACGATATCCTCTACGGAAGTATAAACGAAAGAATCTCGTTATACACTACATTTTTAGTGCATCTGTTGTGCAAAGTTTCATCAGTTGATGGGTTAATTAAAACTTTTAGAGATTTACTTGTTTTTGCTCTTGATACTGTTACATAAAGTTGACCATGACAAAAAACTAGCTCTGGAAGATATAAACCAACAAAATCAAGTGTTTGTCCTTGTGCTTTATTTATTGTCATCGCAAAGTATGACCTAATTGGAAATTGAGTTCTTTTAAATGGAATTGAACTCTGATCACTTTGAAGTGGTATAAAAGGAATTTTTGGTAAAAAAAAAACAAATTTTCCATAATATTCGCCTGATGTAATTTTCGCTAGAATGACATTTTTCTCAAATTTTCGACAAGTAAGTCGTGTTCCGTTGCATAACTCTTCAGAAGGATTGATGTTTCGTAGCAACATAACTGGACAATTCACTTTAAGTTTTAACTCATGTGGTGGAATACCATTTGAGGTTAAACTATTAAGGAAATCTTCTTGCAAGCTTTGTTATGATTTATCAATTGCTCCATCAGAGCTATAGTATGTAAAAATTTCACCTGAAATTTGTTCTAATAAAATCTTATTAATATGATCAGCACATTCATTTTTAGGCGTAAGAATGACTTGATTTGCCATCGTATGTAAACTGTCAGCATATGATTCTATATTTGGAAAAATATAATGTATTAAAGTTTTTAAAGATTTTATTTCATCCTCAAATTGTACAATTATGTTGTTTGAAAGTTGAATGCAATTACAAGAATGTTATTGCTCTATTCCATTTCCAATTTTTAACAACTAATCACAAAAAATAGGATCAAATTTTGCCCTCATATTTTCAACTAATAACACATGTAATAATAGACGCCATGGATCAGAAAAGATTAAGCTAGGTTTAATTATGTCTTCTTTTTTCCCTCTTGGTACTACTGGTAAAACTTGCCAAAAACCCCTCGAGAACCATAACTTTACCACCAAAAGGTAAATTACAATCGTTAATATCTTTTAGCATTTTATCCACAGCCTCGACAGCACACTGGTTTACCATAAGAGTTTCATCCCAAATTATTAACTTGCACATTTTCAACAAAATTCCTAAAGCAGATTGTTTACTAACAGAGTAACTCATTTCACCTATTGTTTCCAAAGGAATTTTAAACCTTGAATGAGCAGCTCTACCTCCGGGTAAAAGGGATGCAGCTACTCCAGAAGATGCAGTTGCCAAAGCAATTGCATTTTGAGACTTTATAGCACTTAGCAATGCTTTATATAAAAATGTTTTACCTGTGCCGCCTGGACCATCGATGAAGAAGGCACAACTTGATCCCGATGTTATTTTTTCCATAATCATATCATATACAATTTGTTGTTTGTTATTTAAACTTGCTACACAAACATAGCTTTCTTCAATATTTAGATTTATTGTCTCATCTTCAACCATTCTCCTTAATTTATCATTTTCGTTCATATCTAAATTGAATGATACTATTTCGTAATCGTTTATATTTTTACCTAAGGATTCTAAGGTACAACTAACATCGTTTAAAGCCCGAAGTTCAGCGTCATGTGAAGAAATATTTTCATGTATGTAATCATCAATCATATAAGATTTAAATGTATTTCACAATAATTTTGGATCATTAGGGTTGCAGAGGCTAAGCAGTGCAGCAAATAGACGTCTTAAAAAAGTAGGCATTTCATAAATAATAGTTTCAGATAAACATTATTCACAATTATTATTTCCGCTCAATAAACCATGTAGAAGCACTGCTTCTGGATATGTAACAACAGTAACTCCATTTAAAGTTCGTAAATTTTGAAACGATATTGGACCTCGAATATGATTCAAAAGAACACGAAGAAAATATCGTTCTCCTTAAGATAGATTTACCGTGACAACTCGTCCTATAACAACTTGTTTCTTTCTGCGAGTCCAAATTTTCTTATTCATGTTCCAAACAAAATATGTTGGTAAATCTCTATATAAAAGTGTACGTGCAAACTCATTTTCTTTATTCATACGAAAAAATTCCGTCAACATAGTTTTTTTTTATTTTTATTTTCAACAACAGTAGATAAATCATCTTCATTGTCAGATGTTACTTGCTGATGATTTTCGATATGAAACTGTAAAGAGTAAACTGTAGGACAAATTTCTGGCATATTAAAAGAAAAAATCCTCTACAAAGTTTCAGGTGGAGATATTCATCTAGCAGATTGATAAGCATAAATTTCATCTATATCCTTCTTTGTTTCATTTTTAAGAACTGAAAAATTAATATGATCATATCCTTTGTAAACATATTTATATAAATATTTTACAGTTTTGATAGAAGAACATACTTCAACATTAATGTGACAGTCAAATTTCGCACTTAAATAAGGATTATATGGTATAACCCATCAATTGTCTAACATTTGACCCCTAACTCGAACAAAAATATTAGTAGCACGACGCTTAGACAATAGATATGATTTTTGACCAAACACAGTAATATTACAAAAATCTCCAGGGCATTTATATTTACAACTTTTATTTGCCTCCATGGATACATTTTTCGAATTTAAATTTTCACAAGGACCATGCATATTATGTATAACAATAACAGAATAAAGATGAGGGTATTTGTTTTTGTTAGGAATTTCACATGACACTATCCTATTAACTTTTTCAGCACAAGTAATTTTATTTTCAGAGTTAAATATTAACATATGTACATGAAGGCCTCTTTTTTTTAAATTCAATCACGTATATATGTGTAGTAACATGACCTAAAATATTTGCTTTGTATAAATCATGTTTCAGTTCTTCTAATTTTGCTCTAAATATGCGTACAATTAACTCTAGTCGATTTTGAACTTCATCATTGTTTTTTAGTAGTTTCTATTTTAACGTATATATCTATAACATATTGTTGAAATAATCTACCGGCGTGAAGTAACACGGACTTACCAGAAGACCTAATCTGTAATTTATATGAATAATATTCTCGACAAGATACTTGAGTACGTTTTTTTGCTTCATTGAGCACTACAAAACCCAAAGGGAAACTAAATTCAATATTTCTTGATAACGTAAAACATAAAAAATTCTAGCAAAGGATATATCTACAAACCTTCGTTCTCTTTTTCGATAATTTTAGCTGCAGAAGTAGTTGTGTTAGAAAAAAAATCCAATGTTGACATACGATCAGGCTGAAAATTCATATTTCTACATCTCTCAATGCCTTCATGCTAACCAAATTCCCCATATAAAAAAAGTAACAAATAGTGCAATGGATCATAACACCCATAATAATAATGAACTTTGTGTGAATTATCAGAATGACCATATATAGTGATATCACGAGCACGAACATTAGCATTTGCATCATCATCTACCCATATAGCAGCTACTTGAGATGCTGTAAGAGTATTGAAAACTCTTTGATCAAGTCCTGGATCACATTGTATTTGTATTTGATGATTATACAAGTTAGTCATATTACTTAAATATCTAAAGAATTTACAGTATAGATTTGTTTTTAAAATTTCGATTAAATCAACTAAAGTAGATTCAACAAAGTTTGATGAAATTTTCATACGACTTTCAACTTCGTTTTTCTGTATCGTAAAAATATAATTGCATATAAGAAGGCGTATTATTTTTTGGCATAAGTTCATTTATATAATGATGCACTTGTCCTTGAACTTTGAATGTGTAAATACCTTTATACGTTTTAAAAAATTCTTTATCGTATTTTACACAAAATGAAGTGAAAGCAAAATGATTATCATATCCGCTTACAATTTTTTTGAATTTCATACAATGTAGTTCTTTAGAAGTAAATAAATTATACAGTTGAACTGGTGAATCACATATAAAAAGTTTAACTTTTCCATCTGAATGACAAAACCCTTTATTTTCTCTATAAAATTTATGTGCATTACAATGTTATGATAATTGGATGTTGGCAATACATATGTAGTAGATGGTATGTTCAATCCTTTGAAATATACTTCAAATTCAGAATCAAAAATATTATGTGATTTTTGATTTGAAGTTGAAGCGTTAGAATTTTGATGCATTATGATTCATGTAGCTGAGTAACAATAAAATAATTATTTTTCAATAACATAGGATCATTTCTTCTTTTATGATAATCACTACAATTATTTCTAAATCTTATTCCCCTCTCTCTCTCTCTCTCTTTGAACTCGTTGGTGACGACTCAAGGCTCTGTGCAACTCGTTCCCATTTTCAGATGCAGCATCGAAGTTAACAATAACACGATCTTCATGAATAGACGTTTCCAAAATATCCATCACGATAGCTGAAAGAACTACTAAATATTTCAACTTCAATCTAAGCAATACAATCTAAAATAATCCATAAACATTATTAGCATATGTGTTAAACCATTCATACAAAAAAAAACCAAAATATATACAAATCAAAAATTAGTTACAACAAACTGTTAAAGATATATTAAATTCATTCAACTTCTTCACAATGTAAAAATTATATAAACATCAATAATACAAAATTTAAATATCAATGAGAAATATAAATATGCTTTAAGTAACGACAAAGAGAACAGTAAACAATAATTAATGGTAAAAAAAGTATTTAACTATAAAAATAAATAAGCAAAAAAAATAAGTTAAAAATAAACTAATTTTAACTTTTTTAGATGCTTGAACTCATGCTAGACAATTAAATAGTTTAGTTACAATTATAGTTAAAACGAAAGACAGAAAAAAAAAATTAAACAAATAAAAAATTTGAAATTTCAGACGGTTCACCTTACAAAACATATAGTTTAAATATAATAACTTTTCAAAACTGTCATTATTTCTATATTATATCAAAAATCATACTCACAAATTTCTTCATTAATCCACAATAGTATAGATACACGATTCAGACAATACTCATTTCCCAAGCCAATATTTTCATTTTAACAAGCTGCATTTAATGTTTTCTTCTTTTTCTACTTTTTCTAATTTTTATCCATTCACTTTTATAATAGATAATATGTCCATACAGTAAAAACATTTGATAATGTTATTCAATCTGTCGTTGTAAATTTCTAAATGTCTAAAAAAATAGTTTATCATATCATTCTTCATTATATGTTATTTCTTTTCCTTTCATTCATTCTAAGCTATTTTATAATTCCATGAAATCATTATCACAAAAAACTAATTATTAATTCACTACAAAAAGAAAATAATAAATCTTGAAGAATAATTTTAACAAGTCTTCAATCCATAAAACAACACTCACAAATTTAGCAAAAATTCATCACTTCCCTGCTTTTCAAAATCATGAAACAAATATAACTGATCTATGAATAATCATTACAGTTTATCAAATGTTAAAAGAAGTATGAAATAAATACTAATTTTCAAAAATAAAAACAAACTCGACAAACAGATTTAGCAACAAAAGGTTAAAGATTATTTTTATAAAACTCAATAATGAACAAATTTGAAGGGAAGACAAAAGTGGAAAAAAAAAAGTTTCAGAAACTTCACCTTAGCCTTCAACTCCCCAATCTCCCACTTGAAGTCCCTTTCCTTTGTCGATACAGAAATTTTTTCACTTCTTTTTGCAAGTTGATGGATTGTCCACAGAAAGAGTATTTATTTTACAAACAATTTACGGCTTTTGTCAACACAAAAAGAACAATGTCTACCTTTCGTTTAAGAGAAAAATTTCATGAAACTCAGTTCTTTGTAATGAAACCAATTTGTCATTTTGAAATTTTTCTTTCAATTTATGGATAGTTTATGTGATAAAATCATACTGATATTTTTGTTTGGACAGACAAGTGCTTGGATCTTTTGTTTTACAACTTCAGTGCTATTTTTTGCTGATCTTTGTGAATAGTAGGGATGTATTCCTTATTGTATTTTTTTCAACTTCCCTTGTCTTACTATTGTATCAAAGTTCTTAAGTTGTTCCTTAAATTGATTCCTTTTCTTTTAGTTAGTGGTATCTGATAACATTTCACAGACTTTTGCACTGTCTATGCCCCATTTACTCATCAATTGTTAGTGAAATAAATGGCATTTACCGTTATTATCCAACTGAATAAATTTTTCCCTCTGGAAACTAATGATATCTAGCTCTACTAGGTTTTAAATATTTTATTAGTGTTGTCACTCCACATTTTAGCATCTTGCAATGCTTCAAATCCTCCTTATTTTATTCTCCTCTTTCCAGTGTTTTTATGTGAATGTGTTAAGGGGGTTTATTCACATCAGCTGGATCCAACATAATTATAAATTTTGTCTTTTGATTATTTCTTTTGTTTGTTACCTTAGCTTTTCTTCTTCAGTTTACCTTTTTGAGTATTCTTCTACAAATGCGTCAGACAATTTATGCAAATGAATAATGACATGTTCAATTTGAGGACATCATCTTCAGCTAATTATATGCCAATGTTATTTATTTGAATTCTTTTGATTTTATACAGTAATATCAATAATGAACAAGTTTCCTTTTAATTTTGATGGTCCAATAATATTCCTTGCTCTAATTGACTTTTACATGAAGATGGTTTGATGCTCTTTTAGAATTTAATAAACATTTTTCCCTTTACTTCATGCAATGCT